AATTATTTATCAACAGTGCTTTCTATGGAACGAGATCTCTACGAATAGTGTTTTCTACCAACAAAGTTTTCGGCAAAAAGAGCTGTCTAGGAATAGAGATTTCTATGGCTAGTGCTTTCTATGGATCGAGATATCTACGAACAATATTTTCTACCAATGAAGTTTTCGGCGAAACGTGCTTTCTGAGAATAGAAATTTCTATGAGCCATGCTTTTTGCATCCAGTAGTGTCGTCCAAACGTGATTCTATATTACGTTCCACACTCGTTTGGAACATGGAGTTTCTTGCTCGTTCTTCTCTATTCGAATCTACATTTTGGAATGAGCACCTAGCTTCACTTAGCTTCACTGACGGACTGACTGACAGACTATTATTAATTTTGTATTTGTTGACGTTTCAATAGTACCAAATTATGGTTTAAATGAAATAAATGCTTTGACTTTGATTTGTTGTGTCAATTAAACTGAATCGCTCATTATGTTGCTAAGTATTTGGATATCCCATGATATGCAGGGATGGTTCTTATAACCAAAAACTGATAATAAAATCCCATAACGTTTCGGTCAGTGTAAACGAAGTAAAACATCGATATAATAGAGTTATCAAGTCAAATGAGGAGATCATAATAGAGATGATGACCGGGTATGAAAATTAAAAATGTAATTAGTCCGTCAGTTAGGTAATGAAAAAATATTAGAAACGTATTTTTTTATTTTGTTGTATAATAAAATGATGCTTAGATATAATGAATGAAATGTACATAGAAGTGACGTCACGTAACATTTAAAATCAATATATCTTCGAAACTATTCGCTTCCGTAAAAAAAATAAAAATACGTGTCTAATATTTTTAAATAATCCACCAGACGGACATTTAAATAAAAAAAAATCATCTACCCTATTGGAGATGTCACCTAAATAATATTCATAAATCGAATCTTCCATACCTAAGTATGAAAATCGAAGCTTCTAGAACAGACCTAAAAGTATAGAAGTGATATGAACTTTAACGCCTAACAACCTTGTATCCAGTGACCAGTTTTATAATAAGAATTATATTTATTTGCGTCACACTACTCGCCACATTACTGAAAGGTTTTGTACAGGCATTGTAAACGATTTGTTCAGCTGCGACCGCCTCACTGTTGCTAAGTACTAGCCATTGTTTCTACATTGAAATAATACTAAATGTATGAATGTGTGTCAACGGGTCGCACTCCACAGATTTAATGAACTACGATTGTGTAATGACGTCAATTAAACAGTATCGGTTTGCCTCTTTATTTCAAATATCTATAGTTACATTCAAATTTATGGTAGACTGTAAGAAAAGTCATGATAAAATAGGGTATTTTATAGAAAATAATTACTATAGAAATGACATAGTTTTGTAGATATACAACCTTCATAATATTGTACTAGCTAACTGATAAAATTCCTACATAATGTTCCTATTCGTCTCAGTGCGCAAGCGCCTTAATTCGTGCAGGAAACATTTTTAATTATAACCGCCATTATTCAGTTCATTAATTTTAATTGTATAATGTTACAATAAGTCTAAAAAAATAATTGGGTCCGATTTTTACGTGGAATCGTATAAAATACACGCTGTATATGAAGACAGATTAAAAATTATATATGAAATCGGTCGTTCGTTACGAAATATACTTAATGTGTAAGTAAATAAGTTCCAGACTGGTTTGAGGATATAAAATTGTAATTAAACTGTCTGGCGATTTTGGCATACGTTGCTCAGTTAGAAATAGAATGTGTAGGTAACATCTAATAAAACATTAGCGTATAGGAAGCGTGTAATAAATAATGAAATCTATGTCTATAAATATACGGCTGATATTTATGTACACTAGGAAACTAGAGAATAATATTTACTATTGAATGGGAACATGACCTACAATATGATGTGAGTATTGATAACAATAATCGCAAGTAATTTGTTACATTAGAGATCTGTTCATGAGAAAATTGATTTAACTTACAGTTTAAATACTAAGAAAAACTGTCATAAATGTCATAGGCTCTATGAAATAAAACCTCATTCGTCTTTTAGGTTTTCAAATATACCAGCAATACAAACTTTCACACAACAAGGATTTATGATTAGAACTAGCGAAAAGGGTCGCGACTCAATTCTTACGTTCAAGTGTGTGAGAATCTCATTTCTTAATTTAATTTTCCCTCATACGCAAAGAATGCGGAACCCCTTAATGTAATTACATATCACACTAGACCGCTTTTATCTTAGCAACGGAATGACCCTGTGATAGATTCCGTATCTTGAATTAGAATCAATTATATTCGTTTCTGAAGTACATACAAACATCTATTCATTTGTACAACTAGCTGATTATAAAAACCAAATATTGCCAATAAAGATGATGTCAGTAAATAGAAAAAATATCAAGTAATCGTCTCCAATTGTTATGTTTTTAAGTGTGGGAGAGCCATGCTTCGGCACGAATGGGCCGGCTCGACCGGAGTGATACCACGGCCTCACAGAAAACCGACGTGAAGCAACGGTTGCGTTGTGTTTCGTCGTGTGAGTGAGGTTACCGTAGGCCCAATTACCCTCCCCTTCCCCAATCTCCCCAATCTCTAAATCCCCAACGATCCTCAAACTCCTAATCCCCAAAAGGCCGGTAACTCACTTTTAACGCCACTGGTTTTTCAGGTGTCCATGAGCGACGCCGATTGCTTACTATCAGGTGATCCGTCTGCTCGTTTGCCGGCTTATGCAATAAAGAAAAGTGTTATTTTCAAATATGGTTACTTCTCTAATAAAGCAAGAACGAACGTTCCCAAGCGGTCTATAACGTCAATGATTTTTTATAGTTCCTGGTCCCCTTCATAATGCTAATTCACACTAATTACTGGTGACCATCCGTTAAAGTTTACCTCACCACGATCATCAGGACGATAACGATATTCCCATGCTTCCACCAAGAAAGCATTCAAGAGAAGCTCCATAGAATTACCATACAGATAAAATCGGAAGTATTTATTATGGCCACAGCTATGTTTATAAATATTATCGACTATTGAGGGCATGCGATAATCAGAGTCTAACTCAATGGGAACCGTAATCAGGAAAAGGGATATTCTGGACAAGCTTTATATATCAGAACCAAGGATAGTGACACCGTCCGTATAGAGTATTCCAAAGAAAACAAGGTCTTCGCCAACTGGACGCAGTAGCAAATTAGTGTGGTCCCTAGCTTTGTATAAACCCGTATTGTGTAAGGGTCTGGTTAGTTTGGAGCCAATGTAGGATTAAGAAACGGGGTAAATAGTCAAGATTACGACGGGGCGTGGGCGAAATCGAGGCCATGACGAAACTCTGATTGATAACGTTCCACTATACGTATTCTGATAACTTCGCTTCTTGTTGCTATGCGATAATATGAGTCTACGGTTTTTTTTGTTCATTGTATTGTAATGTTAAAATAGGACGCACGACTGTCGGTGAGCCCACCGCCAGTGGGTGGACTTTTGTGTAGGATATATTAAAAGTGTTATTTCTTGGTGGAATATACGATGCCGGTTCACCAACACCAGGCCCTGCGTCAGTTACCATTAAACATTTTAACGCTATCTAAACACTAGTTACAATTTATTTTACGCTTTATCTTTACATTTTTGCTCGATACTGTTTCATGAGAACATAACAATGCCAAGATCTCCACCATGAAATACTTTTAAGTTCGTTTACATTAATTGTCACGAATGAAGCGGTTCCAAATCGTTCGGAACGAAGTTTTCCATAAGTGTCAACGGCTTCCCGCCATCTATTTCTGGCTGCCAAATTATCTGAACTAAAAAATGTCACCCACGTCTTTGGTGGTGTGATAACCGACGTCGGCTGACGTTGAAATCTTGCCTATAAATTATTTTTGAAGCAGTTAACTCACACGTTAATGTCTTAACAAATCGCCTAGAATTAATTTACCTAAAAGCTATTTTTGTAAATTATATGCGCTCGTCTGCGATTGTATTCCTAATTTTATTATTTTAATTCTAACGTACGGAGACATAATACACATGGCATTAAGCCCACCTTGTACACTAAAATGTGCATGTAGCCTTTTAAAATAAAATAAAATTAGAACTTAGTGATAATTTATCAACGAATCATGAACGCAAAGTGTCGGTTTCTTGCATCACTTAATTCGGTATCAACATAGCAACTATAAAAAAAATGGAACTGGAGTCATTGATCATAACATGAATCTGAAAATATTCACTAGGCTATTCACACGTTGCGGGGTGCACTTATTGATCCAAAATGTACCGAAACGCTGACTCACGCATTCTATATTAATCTTTCTTCACCCCTTCCTGGATTTATTGCTGGATTCGTCACAGCGTAATGTAGCCAATTTAGAATAGCAATGCACTTCTCCGTATCGCAAAAGTTTTTATTACTGCAAATAACAATGGAACTTGGATTATTAAATTTAATAGCTTATGATACGTCATCGCTTTCTTTTGAAATACGAGGGTGTGGACTTTTGGAATAGTTCCGTGACTTGCCAATTTTGCATCTTCATATTAATATGATTGACGTCGGTTTACTTCTTCTTGCCTTTCGTCGAGAGTTGCAGATGTCTCGCTTTCATGAACATGCTCCCTATGGACCTCATTATTATTGACTTTCGGATCATTGTCAACTATAATGCATTTCATATTGAGTAACTCGAGTGAAACGACATTGTCAATGTAATTCTCTCGAGACTTCACCTTCTGTGTTGTTGTTCCATTTATTTATATTTTTATTTTGTTATATTCATTACTTTCGCCTTTAATTGCCATATCTTAAACTATGGGTATATTCTGTGTTTTATTTTATCGGTTTACTTTTCAAAATTTTAAATCGATTTAATATTCTTGTTTCAGATCAAACGCGACCAGTCCGATGCCGAGACCTTGTTCCATCTAGCGTTTAGCATATTAGCAGTCCACCATTATATTAGACTCTTTATGTTGCAATCACATTGTGTAAATGATTTCATTCTACAATCCTAGTGACATCTGGAATATTACGAAATTTGCAGTCAGCACTCATCACTGGACTTGTCTCATTGTTCCCATTCTTCTGTACATGATGACGCTACATTGCAATTTCGTACGTTCTTAGGATATGTCGATTCATAACATTTTGAAGTCCAATATTGTTACTCAAGTAATACTAGTTATACATTTTATACATTTACCATACTTTATGGTAAGATCTCGGAGGAAAATACAAAAATGCTCCTTTAGTTTATAAGTTCTATGACTTTGAAACACTTTGTGATCTTTATTACGTTTTTCTGTTTTCCTCCGCGATCCTCTAAGTTCACGCATTTTTATTGTTTTGTTACTCTATTCTATGTTCGTGTTGTCTATACGTGTTTTGAATTATATTGACTAACAAATACTAAAAAATTCTAACGCATGACTCTTTATTTTTACTATATCAACTCGCGAGTATGCATGACGTCAAATGTTGTTAATTTAGTTTAATTTTATTATTTTTTGTTAAATACTTAGACAACCTGCTACACTGACATGTTTATATTATTTTAATTTATTTGATTGTTTATATTTATTAATTGTGTTTACTTCAACAATTTGTAAAGTTTATTGAATTCTATCAGCAGTATGAGATCAATCGTATATTTTAGCCTTGCTCCATAAAACTTGATTTTACGTTTAATTTCCATCGCTTAAATTCGAGTTTTAGTTCATGCATGGCAATACCCGGGGTTGCTTTCTAGTTTTTTTGATAAGAAAAATTTGATTATGCAATCTGTTAATTAAATTAATCACTCAATTATGTATTATCAAAGTTATTATTTTATTTGTATTGATTTAAGAACAGATTTTAATAAACGTTTCGGCATGAATGATGGTTTCATTGAGTCTCCATGTGGCTCCATCTGTTCCCACGATTATTTCGCATGTCTTGTGAACGTTGAATGGCACGTTTGGAGGTCGGACATAAAGTCATTTTTCAATTAATCCAATGTCATCAGGACGACGCGACCTCTGCACCGAACCCGCTAAGTACCTATGTTCGGCATACAATTCCTTTACGATAATAAACTTTATAGGTATAATATTAATGAAGAATTCCTCTTTTTACAAAAGTGAGGTCAATATAGACTTTAAATAAATTTGTACAGTTGTTTCCTTACTATGGAAAACTTGCGTAAAGGCAAGTTAAATAATGAGTATGAGATCATGGAAAGGTGTTTCGTAGCCGCGGGAAATGTGCGAGCATTGCTCAGTGGATTACTGGCTGCGAGTATTTCTGTATTAAATAGGTCACAGTTGGTGTGTCAGTGGCTCACCAGCTGATGTACTCTCTGTTTATGCTTCACTAAAAATCCTGGCATATATGTCTGTATTGTTGTTCTATCCTAGTGGTTAAATGCAGGTGTTAAACGAATTCTACATCCTCAAGTACCAGTAGCATCGTACTTTGACCCGTTTTATTTCTTTACGTCTTCTATAAATCTTCTATGTTTTGATGGACTGGATGATTTACATGTTTAAGACGTGCATTTTTAGTTTTATGACTGTCATAAGACTTGAAGGAAATATTAACTTCTTATGAGATGTTTATTTCGGGCGTTTAGAGACATTAATTTCAGTGAATGGGCCATTGCTGGTACAGATAGGGGGAGAGCTCTGAATCGTGTTACTAAAATAAGTAAGACACGATATAAAACTATCATACGATATGAATCGAATGATGACAATGATGTAATAGATACGCTTGGACGATCAGCAAATATTTACTTCAACGCACAAGTATTTGCTAAATCAGTCATTACAATTAAACAATTCAATATTTTTGCAAATACAGTCAAATACAAGTCAATAACAACTTGATTGTTTGTCAGCATTTCAAAACCGATCACATGTAGGCTGTGAATGTTTTGTTCCAAATAACACGACACTGCAAGTTCAGTATTGCAGTTACAATACTTTGCACATCCCTCTAAAGGCTTCTATAACGCTTGAACAAAGTCCAATATGGAAAACAATCAGGTAAAAGTACCATTGCGGGCTTCAGGTCTCAGATGTGTGAAATGGACATGCAACCATATTATGCAAAACTCAGAAAAAGCAGAACGTTCAAAAGAAAGATCTAGAAAGAAAAAAATGTCTGAAAAATTTTAACGAACCACCTAACGTAACGATGAGTGAAAATTAATTCGTCCGTAGTAATCTCGAATCGGATCTTATCGGACCAATCTGTTCGGACATTGACCGCGGTCTCTAGTCTTAAGTCTTAGTGGATCTTCAAGACGATGACTAATCTTAAGAGGAATCCGTTGCGACGTCTGAGATGTGTAAGGCTTTTTATCCACCGTAAATTAAGGTGTCAGACACTGGAATATGTTAATTGAAATGATAATTTGAGCAATAACGTCTGAAGTCTCTATAGTTTTTATTTTCTTTTCTCGAGTCAGCTGTGTGGAGTCTGATTAGCAGTCGTGCTCTCAGTTCCTTGCCCCATGATTTGGCAACTTTTTTGGGCTGGTTTTTTACGTCTGTAGTCTAAAATGCAACCTTTTTGGCGTTTTAACAGACTTTAAAATCTATTGACGCTAAGTCTGTACAGGAATGCGTGTAAATAAATCGTGGTAAGTTGTATCTATGGCAGCAATCGCAGCAGTATTAGGTAGTATCAGTAAATTGACACCAAATAACGCAACCCAACGTGAAATTGCAGGAAGTAGCAACATACTAATTACTGCCACGACACGTGAATCACTATTATTACATAAACGTTACATGTCAGGCAAGCAGCCCCGCTAGCAAATATTCCACCAAACTGGTCAATTCTTGGCCATAGTGACATTTCACAGTTGCATATGGCCGTCGAAAGTTGGTGTCGATGAATAAAAGTTGTCCCACCAGTGACTTTCATACTTACGAAATTTGTTCACTTAATTGGGTTGCCTGTCAGTTACGGAATGTTAAGGTTTCGTCCAGTAGAGCGTCAAGCGATGCATGATATATTGGAGCATATATTTTATGATCAATTTCCGACACGACTAATGTTAAATTAGAACAATCTGTGCAAGTTTTGTATGACAGTTTAAGTTGCAAAAATTGACCATGTATAATTTGATTTGTCCAATATCAAATCAAGGTACAGCTTGCTTTCTTCCTCGCGAATCTTGTACTGCATTACAATCTCAGACATCGGACACGGGTCCCGGTATTCGTGTGATGTTTTTTTACCAAGATAAATGTACTTACGATTGAACGATTACATTGTGCTGGACAGGTCAACGACTATATTAAGTTACTGTTTTTGTTTAAAAAAACATTACCTTTTATTACCTTTTGTTTTGGGATGGCGAAAGATGGATGAAACAAGGATTTTAGCCTAGTTAACTATTTATAATATTATTGTTATAGAAGACGAAACATGTATAGGAATTCTAAGACAAACTTTGAACCATGGAGGTGGACAGCAACTGAAAAGAACTACTACGATCCCTGCCTTTCCTTATTAGTTTCTATCATATTCTCAAAATAAAGGAATCTCATACATTTGTTCGGTTTCTATATTGTTAACGATTATAGAATCTGGCTAGAACTGCAGGTGATATAATCGCAAAACAGGGAAGTTTGGAGTTTCCAACCGCACTGCAGATGGACTACGGAAAATGTGAGGGGAATGAGGTCATAGTAACTAGGATTTGGAGAAAATTGTTCCATTATGACGGTTCAGACAAACAATTTTAGTTTTATTCTGATTTAATGCAGCTGCAGAGTGTTATTTGGAGTTTTATGTGCTGTCTAAGCTGGAAAAGGAATTTTTGGAGCGAAGGATAGTAATGTATTGGGAAATGGTAAGTACTTGTGTAAGTATCGGAGATCTAAAATGGAATAATTGCGTGCAAGATTTATATTGAGGTAAGAAGAAATGTAGGCAGACGATGATAATACAGTTTGTTGTCACTTGCTACCTACAAAATAAAGTTTGCCGTACTGTGTCGAACTTTGGCACGAAAATGGCAGGCAGTTTTTTATAATAACATCACACCTTTTATCCCCGAAGGGGTAGGCAGAGGTGCACATTACGGTACTTAAATGCTACTATACAATATAACACCCACTTTTCACTATTTATGATAAGAGTCCCATGTAATAGGGGGTGAGCCTATTGCCATATATCGGGCACAATTCTAGACTCGGTGCTACTACAGAGATTTTTTTTAAAACGCAGTAATACTTTGCCCGACCCGGGAATCGGACCCGACACCCGTTGCCCGAGTTGCACTTGCGAACACTGCCAATGAGGCAGTATAGAAGTATTGCTGCGGCATATTGCCACATCTTACTGAACTTAAAGTGCTCATGTACTTAAATGGATATCCTCAAAGTCCTCATTGCACTATTATTTACAAGTTTTCACAATAAGGCTATCCTTCAATCAAGTTGTCAATTAAGATAAATGTCCCGTCGATGTGCACATCACTTGGAGAGTGATCTCATCCGTAGTGTCGTAAGCAGAGGTAGTGGGTAAGTAGCAGCTTTACATTTTGAGTGGATTTTAAGTAAATATGGTGTTAATAGGGACTTAAGTTATAATTGCAAGTTATCGAGTACATTACCTAATTTTCATTCTCTTTGATTTTAATATGGAAAGTGATTAAACTAAGTTTGAGATGAGTTCTCAGTAAATGAGTGTTTGATTTTATCGATGTTAGGAATTGATTTTTCTGAATCAATTCATAATATTGTTTTATAACAATGTCATTATCTTCGTTGATATTTTTTTATGGAATATAAGGCTAACGAACAGACGGTACGAACTGATGGTAAGCGATCAGCTCCGCCCTTGAGACTTCAGAGGAGTCACAGGTGCGTTGCCAGCATTTTAAAAAGGAATACATCCTTTTTGGTTAATACATAGATTACAAAACAGATTTCTTTGAAATGTAATATAAAATTATGACAATCGATTAATATATTGAAATGTACATACATTTGCAATTACACAGGAATCCTGTTTAGTGCAAAGTTCATTCAAAGAACTTGAAACCTATCAGTGTACAGGCTACTATTTCCATTTGTTAGCAAATAACTTAACACCCGTTAGGAAACAGGTCGGTGTTTTAGCCACTTTATTACGTTTTATGTTTATAGAGAAGTACCTAGTAATTCATAGTCATTTCAAACCTAGTACTACACTGAGTTCAAGATTCAATGTTCGAATTTAATTGTTTAACATAGAATTTTGCAACGAGCAGACGGATCACCTGATGGTAAGCAATCGGCGTCGCCCATGGACACCTGGAACACCAGAGGCGTTACAAGTGCGTCACCGGCCTTTTGGGGATTAGGAGTTTGAGGATCGTTGGGGATACAGGGATTGGGGAGATTGGGGAAGGGGAGGGTAAATATAAGCGTATTAGACAAAATAATACTTGAGTTTAAGGATTCAGGATCTTACACTGGTATTCTAATAGTAGGTTTATTATAGATATGACTTGCAGATGATAAACATGCTAAACTGGTCTTAAATATAAATTTACCAATGTAGGTATCAGGTAACTACTATTTGACGCTGAAATCACTGAAAGCATTTAAGTCATACAGATAGACCATGACACACATTAACAAATAATACATTTTTAACCTACATAGTCACGCGGACGCAGTCACGCTAACCTTACTGCAATATACAGACAATCGCACATCAAGCTATCCTGATCTATCAAACACATTTGATTGATTGTCAACCTTATTAAATTTAGAACAAAGTTGAAAATGGCTTAAAATTTTTTTACAGATTGGAGCACTTCGACATGCTGCGTCCTTACTACCAAATTTTGTTGAAAACTAGTAATATTCGTGTAATCAGTTAATAAATCAA